ATGGGACAGGAAGTCGCGGAAGTGAGAGTGAGTGTGATGTGTGTCTGGTGACTTGAGTGTCCCGACACCTCACCAGGCAGCTGTCAAGAGCCAGGCCTGTGTTTTACCACACTCCTCAGGGAATCCCAGGAGACACCTGCTGTTGGCTCGGGTTCTTAGGCAGCAAAACAACTTCACCTTGCCCCGGCTCTCCCTTGGGACCCCTACTCAACAGGAGGCTTACGGAACCCCTGCAATAACCTCAACACAGGGAGGCTGCGCCTTCTGCCTGGCACTACCCAACCGACCAGCCTGGGTGGCCTCTCCTAGGGTCCCTCCAAAAGTTCTGGGTCGTTCTAGGAGGCTGGCTGGTTAGCTACAAGGGGCACCGACCACCCCTCAGCCTGGAGCCCCCACCTCTCCACGCACCCCCTCACTCCCACCACAAAGGGCTATAGGTCTCCCTGCCCTGCCTGAGTCCAGTTTACAAACTGTGGTTGCTCCAGGGCCTGGTCCCTCTCTCCTGGGGTGCCACCACTTCCCTAGTGGACACAGGGCCCGCATATGCCAGGTAAGTAGCAAACCCTTCCTCCTGCCAAGAGCCGAGTCTCAGAAGGCCCCCATCACTGCCCTGGGGGGGCACCAGGCCCTCCTTCCCAGCCGCTACTTCTCCTCTTGCCTTAGGCCTCTCCACCCTGATCTGCAATAACAAGGAAGCGAGATTCCACAGTAGACATCCCGCATCCCGCGTGGGCCCTCTCTCTGTTGAGGTCCTGTGTGGGAGGCCTCTCCCCTGTAGTATCTAGGATGGTAGTCCTCAGAAGAGACTGTAGGTACGTAGCCCAGCCCCATTGTTGAGAGGCGGCAGCCAGCCTGGCCCTGAACCAGACTCGGGCCGGGTCAGGCTCTGCTCTTGCTGCCGTCCTTGGTACTGTCTCTGTCGGTTGGGTTGGGACCCTTTGCCCCTTAGGAGAGGTGTTGGTTACAGATGTTTACCTCAGTTTGTCACTGTTGAAGAAACAAATAATAGCAAAAAAAATAATAACATCGTAGACATGGAGACTTAGAAGACAAAAACCACAGAAGAAACCTCCCCCTTTGCAATTTTCCTGTGAAGGTATAGTTTGTTCGTGTACGCACACATACGTGCGTGTCTCTGTCTCACCCCAGGGCAGGCCAGATCATCTATTGACACCTGTCCCAGCCTGTGTGTCCCTCACACTGCCCCTGTCCTTTGGTGCTTCCCAGGGGCCCCTTTGAGCTGGCTTGTGGGGTGTAGGGGAGCTCCCTGGATAGGAAGTGGGGCCTTCAGTTAGCTAGAGGTCTCCCACCAGGCCCTGTGAACAGAGCCCAATGGCTGTGTGATGCTCCCTGAGCTCACAGCACAGTGCTGGTGGTTGGCGTCTGTCCAAGTCTGGGCCAGGGCCTGGGGTGAACCCAAGTCCTAGAGCCTCACTCCTGTCTTGCCCCCCCCCCCCCCCCGTGTTTGTAAATACTCTGGCATCCTTTGGCCCTGAGGAGGTTTTTAAATGTGTTATTTACTTCTCTAACTATGACAATTGCTATAAAATAAAAATTTAGAAAAACGACCGTTTCAGCTGTAAGGTGGGAGGGGTACACCGGTCTTCCTGCCACGGCATGCTGGCGTGCTCTGAGGTAGCATCTGCTGTGTCCAGGCCAGGACTGAAGGGGCAAGTACGCTCCTCAACTTTCTGGGGGAGGGGCAGAGAACTGTCCTGGCTTGGAATTCGGCTTTAGCTTTGACTCATTCAGCCTGGGCGGAAAGTTCATGGCCACCACTCTTGGCCGTATTCAGCAAGCACGTATGGTGTGCATGTCAGTGGTGCAAAAGTCAGTTGTACAGACAAGACACAGCGCTCAGCAGTGACCGTAATGATAGAAGCATGGCACTCACAAAGACCAGGGCTTGGGAAGGTACATAACCAAGGTCACCAGGTTTGGGAATGCCAGGGAAAGCTCTGGAAAAACAAGCCAGAGAATTCTTAACTGGGCAAGGTATTACTTTGTTAAGAAATCTCCAGTAGCTCCCCTTGACACCCACGTCAAAGCTGAGGTCCTTGGAGCCGGCTTCCAGGCTCTACCTGGTCTGGCTGGCGCTATCCAGCCTCATTCCACGACCTCTCCTGGTTACCACCCGCTGCCGGTGTCCTCTTTGTCTTCTGTGGACACCCAGCATGCTGGCACCCTAGGGCTTCTAACTTCCCTCTGATCTCTCAGACCTTCCCAGGCCTCCTTCCTCCCCTCCCTCCTTCGACAGAGCTTCCTTACAACTACCACCATTGCAGGGCCACACGTTTGTCATCCTTGTCCCCTGTCTAGGCTGTCAGTTCTGTAAACAGAGACAGGAGAGGGTGAGCCGCTGCTTCTCACGGTCTCTCCGTGTCCAAGAGGGCACATAGGAAAACCACATCACAATTTGTCAACTCATGAATGAACTTCCAAGACTATTTAGGGGCCGAGGTTCTACAAATAAGCAAGACAGACAATCCCTAGCTCATCCTTTGAAGCTCAATTTCTAAAAGAAAATCTTTAACAGGTTACATAATTATTTATGGAATGGGAGAGGGGAGAGAAAAAGAAAGAAAACACCACTCTGGGAAGATCAGAGGTGAGAACTCTTACGCAAGATTAAATAAAACATTCACTCCAGAGTGCCTATCACTTCTCTGAAGTGATGGAAGGCAGAGGGGAAAAATCTACAAGTGCAAACAGCATGCTGACTGACCCAGCTTGGTGTTTACAGCCTCCCAAGTTATCAGAGAATGTCAATATTTACCACCAGGGGGCATGAACCTCCTACTGTGAAACCTAACACCCCTGCAGCCTCTAGAGATAAAACTATTGTCTGCCACCCGCTGCTAGTGTGTTCATTATAAAGGATCCAACCACACGCCACTAGAGGATCAGGGTGTCCTTTCAGCCCCTGAGATGTTCAGTTTGGGGTCTTAGTGCCCCTTCCTGTCCAGAGTGTTCATTCTAGACTAATTCATTATCAAAATTTCTAATTGGGCCAGTGAGATGGCTCATATGGTAAGAGTACCTTACCGCCATGAGTTGGGTCCTTGGAACACACACGGTAGGAGAGAACTGAGTCCTGTGAGTTTCTCTCTCTCTCTCTCTCTCTCTCTCTCTCTCTCTCTCTCTCTCTCTCTCTC